CCACTGTGACACCAAGGCTCTTGGGGTGTGTCTGAAGCATCTCAAACTGAACATACACAATACTGAATTTGGCCTCTTACCTGCCAAGCAGGATCTTATCCTGGTTCATGGTTGTTGTGCACCTTTGAGTCCACAGTGACCCACAGCTGACCCTCCAGTGGGTTTTCAGAGGTGGTTAACTCACAGGAGAAGACGCCTCATCCCTCTCCCACAGAGCTGCTAGCAGATTTGAACTGCGTGCTCTGGGAATTGCAGCACAGCCTTTACCTCCAAGCCAGAGGAGCTATTTCAAGTTTAGACTCTAAGAAAAAAATGGTACCTTGGCCCAATGAGTTGCCATGAACTTGAGGAGTCTTTGGACTGTTCTCTCTTATTAGATTTGGACTTTGATTTAGAGAGTCTATCCTGTGTGTGCTGTCACCTCAATGCTTCACAAATGTCACCTTCTCCCCTCTCCTGTAGCAAATCTAACTGCTACAATATAAGAACATTCCAAATCTTGATTCAGTTCTTCAATTCAGCCCTTTTCTTCTTTTTTTCTAGTTCAGCTTCCCTTCAACACACTCACACTATATAACCAGGGTGATTATCTTGCTCTTCAGTGTAAAACATTTGAATGTATTTTTATTTCCATAGGGATAGAGGTCAAGGTACCATGTTGTTATTATATGTTGTCGAGTCTCTTGTGATTCACAGTGACCCTTTGTACAATAGCTCTGAACCCTGCTCTATCTTGAGCCAATTTCATTGTCTCCAACATACCTACCCCCAATATTCCAGGCACTGAATCAATCCATCTCATCCAGGGTCTTCCTCTCTTGTGCTGTTTCTCTGCCCTTTCAAGTATGATGTCCTTCTCTGAGGACTGGTCCCTCCGTATCTAATGATATTCCTCAAGCTTATTTCGACAGACTTTTCTAATCCATCCCTTCACTTTCCTCTTTTTTTTACCCCCTCCTGAATAATTTATTGTGGGTTTGGTGAAAGTTTACAGAGAAAATTAGTTTCCCATTCAATAACTCATATGCATATTCATTTGATTACGTTAGTTGCAATTCCTTCAACAAAATACGGATTTCAGTTTCCAGTTGACCATTTCCTGTCCCTTCTTGCCTTTTGAATTTTGCTTTTTGGAAAATTCTGCCTTTTGTGATAGTGCATGACAGATTATTAGTGGGTGTTACTGCTCACTTTATGGGCTTGTCTATTATTTGTGTGGAAGGTGATCATTGAGGGTAGATTCGTTTCCAAGTTTGAAGAGTGCCAAAGGACCAGTCTCTATTAGACGAGAAAGTCTTGTCTTCTTGGCGACTCTGCATTTAGTTCTAATTTTTTTTCTCCCACTCTGTTCAGGTGCTTCTGTTGTGACCATGATCAGAGTGGTCCTCCTCCCCTCTCTTTAGACGTGGCTGCTTTTGTATTAAACCACCTGCAGTTCTGTGAAGTTGCCATTCCATACTAATGAAAGTTTATGCTTTTGTACCAGCTGTTGTTTGGGAGAAAGATAGACAATCTCCTCTCACCAGATTAACTGCCTCTGAAAACACAATGGAGGGTCAGCTTTGAGTAGATTCTGACTCAGTGGCACACAAGAACAACAATATGTTGTCTTCTTGGTCTGAAACTCTCTTCCTCCAAATTACTTCGTACTTGGCTAGTTCTAAAAGGTCTGTCATTCAAACCCCTCAGCTGGTCCACGGGAGGAAGATGTAGTTATCTGCTTCCTTAAAGATTTCAGCTTTGAAAACTCTGTGGGGCGGTGCTATTCTGTCTATAGGACTGCTGTTGTTTTTACATGCTGTCGAGTTGCCTGCGACTCACAGCAACCCTATGTACGAGTCAGAATTGTTTTGTGGTAACTAGTTCATTCCTATATATATTCACATCTCTGTTTAGACATTTCCCATTGGAACTTTTTCTTTGACCTCCCTACAATGTTAAATGATTTTATCTGTGCATCACTATAGGCCCTAGGAATAAGAACAATTAATAGAGTTATGGCTGGTAGCATTTGAGTCCTTATTTTATGCCAAAGTCTCCTCTAAGAAAACTTATCTTAATTCCCTTTAAGCGTCTAACAAACTTAGGATATTGTTATTATTACCTCATATAAGTAAGCCAAACTATAGGAAAGATAGGTAATTTTTCCAAGGTTTTACAACTAGTAAGAGACACATATATTCTGAACTTAGGTATCTCACTGAAGATGACACACTTATATGTTGTTGTCGTTGTTGTTGTTTGATGCCGCTGAGTCGTAGATGACTCATAGCGACCCTATGAACGAACAGCCTGAGCACTGTTCGCACATAGAGTTTCCGGAGGCAAGCCATTTTGGAAGTAGATGCCGCTCACTCATATATCATATTTATTTTTATTATAAACAGACAGTGTTTTATAGTAACTTGTTTATATCTAACTTTCCAGTTAGAATCTAAGCTCTTGGAGAAAAGTCACATCCCCAGCACTTTGCATAGTAATCATCACATTGTACACTCCAAATTTCCTGCAATTACTTCTCCTTCCTCACGTATACATAAACGTGCCAGAATAAGTTTGTTTAAAATCTACTTTCCTCAAGCTGCTTGTTGAATAAAGAATTTTCAGAGACTCTTACCTAACAAAGTGGGTGAAAATCCCCACATCTAGGTCTATGGTCAGAGATTCTGCCTCCTAGGAGTCCTGGGGGCAAAGTGGTTTTAGGTGCTCATCTAGTAACCAAAGAGTTGGTGGTTTGAACCTCTCACCTGCTTCACAGGGGAGGGAAATGGTGATCTGCTTCCATAAAGACTGTAAACTTGAAAACCCACTGGGGCAGTTCCACTCCAGCTAAGGTCACTATGAGTTGTAATCAACCCAAAGGCAGTGACTTAGTTTGGTTTGAGTTCTTCCTCAGCTTATCTGTGTATAGTTTGATGCATGACTGAAATACAGTAAGTGCTTTTGCGTCTTATTGCTTTTTGAAGTGTTCTTCAAAGTTAAATGGGTAAACATAGAATAAAGAAAATGCTTTTCATTATTATAAATGTAGGGGAATTATCCAGAATGGATACCTAATATGCTATAGAAAGTAGATGCTGCATACATCACACAAAGTTTGCTTCCAAAGAGTCTCGTTCTTAATGAAACAGTCATACCAAGATAGGAGAGGTAAAATGTAAGTGATAATCTAATTAATGAGTATTTCTAGAGATATCCAACAAAGATAATTTGACAGCAGAAAGTTAATTCATTGCCTCTTGATGGGTACATCTTAATTGAAGTTTATGATGAATGCTTATATATTAGCATAACTAAGCCAGTCCACAAGACATAAGAAAAGGACAATCCTTTGGATCTCGGGTCAGAAAACAGAGTAGCCAACTAGAAGATGTTCTGGACACAAAAACCACAGTCTAGGACTGTGCACTGCAGGAAGTGGGACTACGCTGCCAGGGCTGTTCCCACAGTTATTTGGGCAGAAAATTGCTGTCTAGATTGACCACATGGGACCCCTTAACTCAAGCAACAGCGAGGTCCCGGGCACCTTGAAGGAGGTGAGAAGCCATTTCCAGAAGGGACCAACAGGCTCTTTCTTGGTCATTCATTACTTTGGGAGGGAAAGTGCCATCTAGCTTGGCCATGTGGGACCCCTTAACTCAAGCATCAGGGAGGTCCTGGGCACCTCAACAGAGGCGAGAAGCCACTTCCAGAAGGGAACAACAGGCTCCCTCCTTGGTCATTCAGGTACATTGGAGGAAAAATTGCTGTCAGGCCCTTGGCCTTGCAGGCTTCTGGCCAAGAAGAGAGCATAAATATATAGGTGCTTCCCAAAACATTGCTGTACCCTGGGTAATTTCGTAGTTATAACAGGCTAATATCTACTAAGAAAAGATTCCTATACTGTCAAGAAAGCAGCAATCCTTATCAGCCATCATGAAAAAACGAAACAACCCTTCTCCTAAAAAAAGCAGACCCAGTGAATACCCCAGTTAGAGAGAACCAAGAAGAAATAAGTTGAAAACCACAGTCCACTCGTCAGTGTCACCCCTCACACTGCCTCTGTCATCTACTTATCCTCTTGAAGTCTTACTCCATTTCTCTAATGTCCTTCTTGGTTTGGACCACATGCCTATATCATCTGACCATTAAAGAATCCAAGAATTTCATTTTCTTTATTTTGTTGAGATGCACAAAAGCATTACACATATTTTATTCCTTTTCCACTTTGCATAAAACCAAAGATTAAATATGAAAGTAAAAGAAAATCTGTGCAATTCAAAATATAAACACATCTTTTCAAATATATATGTGTGCGCACACACACACATATACTTAATTAGAACCTGCAACACCAGATTTTATGACCAAGATTAAACATTGTTAATGAAAATCCTGAAGATACTAAAATATTTTCAAATCGACTTTTTTTATTATTAAGTGGAATATCAGCAGTTTACTTTTACTAATAAAATTTTTAGAACCAATTTGAAGTTTTGATTCATTCAACAATTATATTGAGCACCTACTATGTGTCAGACACTATGCTATAGGCTGAGTAAGCAAAATGAGATGATTTTTCTGATTTCAGAAAATTCTCGTCTCTAAAGCAGTGCTTCTCAAGCTCTTTTTATTTCTGTGCCTTCTTTTGACAAACATACATTTCTTTCTTCCAATTTTAGAAATTCTGATGATACTTTCTATTTTTTTATATGACTGAAACACAGACCCTATCTTTTGAATGTCCTAGACAAAACAGTCATTTCAGTCTCAGCTTTTACTTTTAATTCAAGTACGGCATATTGACTTTCCAGATATGTAACTGGATTGCAATATTAAATACACCTTTGGGATAAAACATACACCCCTCATATCCCTCATACTATCACCCAAACAGAATTTCAAATTGCATGCAACAACCCCTTGAGAATCACTGCTTTAAAGAGTTTGCGAGGAAACCAGGCACCCTCCATTTTTCTTTCCCCTCCAATCAAGTCTTAAAGGAATTAGAATTTTCCTACCTGACACAACAGCTGGTGGAGTATCATAATCCTGTCTTGGGACTGAATCTTTGAATGAAAAGAGCATGAAAAAGAATGCAATGAAGTACAAAAGAAAATAAAATAGTATCTTAGCTCTGCAAAGGGCCAACTCTGTCACGTGGGAGCCTAACCCCTCTGCCTTCAGCTGAAGCTCGAGAGTCCCTGGCTTAGGGCTGATGTCAAGGCTCCAGTTATTGCAATGAGGGTACATGTTTTTAGGACCAGGGTGACCGGCGAGGCCAGTACGGTCTATTCTAGCACATTGTCATCTTCCTCAGGTGGCCATTATGTTGGGTCCACCTCTGGTGAAACATTGTGATATTTTCCACCTTCTCTGGCTGACGAAGGAACTCTATCAGGCAGCCTCATCTGGTGGGTGCCCAGAATACAACTGGAAACAGGGTTATGGAGGGAAAGGAAGGAACTAAAATTTTTAATGGAAAATCAGTAAATTCTCATACTCTAATGAGGCTGAAATACTCTAAAGTTCAGATTTCCTTACTACTCACTGGGCCCCACACTGAACTCAGTAAGTAGAAAATGGGTACTCTTGACACAAGGCCAAGGAATGCGTTATTAGTTGGAAGTGAGGCAGCATAGAGAATAGTCTTTTCAGGAAATAACCATTGTCTTCTCCCCAAATGTCCTTGAGGCTGTGGAAAGAGGACCAGGTATACTGTTCACCTGCAAATAGATTGCCAACAAGTGGCCAAGTAGCTGCTCTTCTGTGTCTCTTATTACTCCGTTCACAGGATCTTTATTCCATTTTAAAACCTAAAAACTTGGACTTAATTTTTCTACCCATTTGATAGCTTTCAGACTATCACAAATTTCTCAGTTTCATCTCCTCACAGAAAGACAATGGCATTCTGTCTCTTGAGAGGAACTGATAAGGAGAAGACAGATTAGGGCTTGAACAGTGTAAGACTCTTTGATCAACAAAAGCAAACACTAATCAAAATATTCAAAAGCAAACAAGTGAAAGACAAATTATTTTATATCTCACAGTGCATGTGTGAAAGAATGACTTGTTAATAATCCCAGGTTTCTAGAAGAAGTGAAAGAATTTTTAAGAGTTGCCAATAGTTTTCTTAAAAGTGGTAGTAATTCCTAGTAACCTTTAAAAAAAACTGCAATCACACCTCATTAGTCTAAACCAATACTCCATAAAGTGAAGTTTTAATGTTTAGATGATACTTTGTGATTTTCAAAGATGATGCTTTTAATAATATTTTAAAGATCTAAAACCTAATCAGGTTCATTATTGAGTACATGGAGAGAGTTTAATGATTAAAACACTAATTACTTCTAATTGCTCACCTAGAAATAACCTTTGTATTTCTCTATGGAATTATCCTTATAGATCTTTTTTTCCATGGTTGATATCATACTCCACCAAGACAAAATTACATCATGCTCTTTCTTGATTCGGGTTTATACATAATCCATTTCCTAATTAATGTAAACTTATAATTTAATGCTGCATTATATATTCTGGATTACGGGTGGATTAGAGTTTATTTAATCATTCTTATTATGTATAATAACAAATACTGCTTGGCATATTTTAAGGTGTAGCAGCTTTTCTGCTATTTTACAATGTTTCCATAGACTATCTTCTCTACACCATGACTTTGGTTAATCAGAATTAATGAAAGGACTTGTCTGAGTACTTTCCCACCCAAGTGACTTTTCTACAAGGTTAGACCATTGTCACCGTATCATCAGGATACGATATGCCCAATTTCCTACACCTCTGTCAACACTGTACTTGTGTTTGAGAACTTTTCCTCATGCAGTGGAAGATACATGCCTTTGATTAGATTACTATTTTTTTCCTTTTGTTCTTTGGCACAGATTTGTTCTTTCCTCAGATACACTGGCATGTTCTTTGGCACTGTGTCTATTGGACTCTATATTTTGTTAAACAGATTTTGTGCTCAGAGTTCATGTTTTTGAAACAGCAATAGCTTAAAGTTTATACCAGTCTCGTATTAAGAGCTGAAACTTCCTTACTTCTCATTTATAAGATTACTCTGAAAGTTTCTTTTTGTGCATTTTACAATGAGATAGTTTATATTTTATAATACTCTAATACATTTTTAAAATGTACTCCCTTTTTATTCTTTATTATTCTGATATTCTGTAGCTGGGTTTTATTTTGATCTTATGAAACATCAATGTTAGTACCTGTTTTTAATAACTTAAAAGTCTGAAAAGGCAAAAAAGTGAAACTAACATTCAACACAACCTGTTGCTTTGCAGCTAGTCTTCACATTGGCAGCTCGCCTACCAACAGAGAGGATGAGGCATCAGGCTTCTTACCCAGGGGCTCCCCTTTGCACGTGAGCATCAAGAGGCCATGGCTTTGGACTGTGTCTGTGGACATTGTATGTTACTAATATTTCAGGACTTATGTGTTATTTTTTATGATTTGGTAGTTTTTTGGGGGGCTGGATTTGCTCAGAATTTGTTTCCATGAAAAACAATGGTAACTGCTTTCTGGTTTTATTTCTTTTGCTTGGAGAAGAGTATTGAATGTATCATGGACTGCTAAGAAAACAGACAGATTTATCCTGGAGAGGGTTAAATCGGGCTGCTCCTTGGAGGCAAGGATTCTGAGGCTCCGTCTAACATACTTTGGACATGTTGTAAGGAGTGACTGGTCCTTGGAGAGGGACATCATGCTTGGGAGGGTGGAGGGCAGGCTCAGGAGGGGAAGGCCCTCTATGAGGTGGACTGATTCAGTGACTGGGGTAATCGGGAGGTGTGTCAGAGACAGTGCGATTGGCACTGGACAGGGCAGAGTTCAGGGCTGTTGTACACAGGGTTGCTATGAGTCGCAAGCAACTCAATGGCACACAACAACATTACAAAAACTTTCCCAGTGATGCCATACTTGTGGACAATGGAGGAAATTTGTATTTGACTTTTTAAAATGAGTCAATAATTTCCTAAAAAATCCTTTAATGGAGACATATTCATTACTTCTTAACTTACTGCTTCCAGAATCATAAGTCTATTTAACCTGCTGTGCCATCTTTTTGAAAATTATTTTCTGTCTTAATGAGTCTATAAAATAAGAAGAAAGGCAACCTCTAAGCAAAATGAATAATTCAGGAGTTCCACCTGATACCATGAGAACTGTATTACAGTGAACGGATATGGTGAACAGAAAAACACTGTCCATGTGGTGAACACATGGAGTAGAACTGAGAGGTCATCTTTGAATGTGGCCTTGCTACGTCATAGCAGCGCAATGATGCCACAAGAGAACACACGTTTGTGTGCAAAAGTGCAGATAGAATCCTGCACAAGAAAAAGTTTCCATTCCTTTCACCAGATGCTGGTGCACTGTAAGCTTCTCATGGTCACCAGCTGAACAAATATCAAAATGAGAGGAAACCTCTAAGACAAGACTGATGTGCAATTTGAAGGTTCTCAAGATGCAGTAAAACCCCAGTATTCACTGGTTTAGATAAATATAAAATGATAAGAAATTATGAGTAACATGGTGCTGGGTCCACTGAGTGAATCCTGGTGACAAATAAACATACCAAAAAAGATAAAAAGAAAAGCAGAAGAGCTAAGACGTTCTTCAAAGTCAACTGAGCCCTGAAATAAAACAATGATATCGCTTCTGTAAAAGTAATTCCATTTTAGGGCTTCAGCTTCTGTCCAGCTTAAAAATAGATGGAAAACTGTAGAGGTTAAACTACATAGCATTCATTTTAACATATGAAGTTACATGTGAATAAAAATAGGTGTTTCTCTGAAGATGGAAAAGAGGTTTTACTTTTTTAGTTTGAGCTCTTAAAAAGCAAAGTGGGACATGGTCTAAGGCCTAAATCTTCCCTTTAAAAAATGGAAGGTTCTAAAGTAGTTCTAATTCTCATCAATCCTCCACGCTGCCTACTGCAGATCCTTCATGGCGTCCTCCTCTGCTCTGTCACTGGAGCCCATCTGTTCCCGGAGTTCTAGTTCTTATCTTAATCTTGCCTTGTCACTGTTTGCACTTCCCTCTGCAGAGTTTCAGTGAATTCAAACATCTGAAAGCCTCTGAAAAATTTCAGGTCAGAGAAAAACGTTCAGGCAGATAATTTTATATTGATTGGCTGTGGCCACACCATGAATGGTGACGGAGGCAATTGAGAGTGGAAATAGCGGGACCAGTTAAGAGATTCTCACCATTGACCAAATGATAAATGATCTCATTTCAGGGCAAAGGCCATAGAGAGACAGAGAAAAAGGTGACAGTGTCAAATGCCTATAAGCCAGAATTGCTGGGACTTGAACAAAGTGATACATGGTGTTGAAGGAACAGGAAAGAGAAGAGAGAGTCTTTGGTTGGGGAACTTGAGTAAATGATTAGCACACAATGAAATATGGAGAGGGACATTTTAGGGGAAGAAGGTCAATAGGGAACAAGCTCAGGAAGTATCATGGAATTAGTTCTGGTGCTATTGGCTGAAATATCTGAGGAAAGTTTACACGGGGATACTTAGCAGCAGGCTGGATAAATGAGTCTATAATTCTAATATGAGGTAGTGGGGAGGACTCAAATGTAAGAATCATCAGTGGAAAAGATGAGAATTATAGCCATGAAAGTTAATGAGTTTGCTTAGTGGAATCATGCTGAATGAGAAGGAAGTTAAGTAGTAGAGAGTCAGTTTGTACGGAGGGATTAAGGCAAAGAAAAACAAGGACCTTGTGATGTTAGGAAGAAGGGACAGTTGGTAGAGAACCAGAAAATCTTTGGGCAGGGACCACAAACTTGGGGTGCTAGGCTTAAAATGGACTCAATATTTAAATTTAGGAAACTTCGTGTTACATGTTGACAAGTTCGAAGACATGGACATTGTGAGTCTCTATGCTTACACGGCAATAAGTGGCTGAAAGTCCGCTGAGGACGCGCCCCAAGGGCCCCATCTCTCCCCACTGTTCATCTAAAACCTAGGCAGGGAAGTCATTAGTACAGTATTTTAAAACTTCTGAATTACAATCTCTCATATCATCTATATAGTATGAGTATTTCAAAAGCTCAGTGAAGTGAATACAGAAGAAATTTGGGATTGTATTTCCAAGAGTTTGCTTTTGAATTTATTTTTTTCCCCCTTGACATCAATCAACTTTATTGACTAATATTAACCTGTTTGGCCTCTACATATGTTTGGATTTGCAATGATGAAATAAATGGTATATTAGGGGCAAAAGAAGTAGAGGTTTTAGGGAAATAAGTGGGTCAAATGAAGCATAATAAGCCAGTGAGTTGTGCTGTGGATCTGAGAGGGGGCTTCACCCCATGTGGCAAACTGGACAAGAATCCTACCAGTTCAAAGGTAATGGAGTAAGGATTGCTCATTGGACAAGCATCTGTTGGCGACAATACATGGTAGAGTTTCGGGCTATTACACAGGTATCATTCAACACTCCCAACACCCTTGGGATGAAAATATTATTTCCCCCACTGTGTAAAAGAGGAAATTAAAGTTTGGAAAGCTGAAGTCATCAGCTTAATCATGCACAGATAATAAGGGGCAGAGTCAGGCTTGGAATTGGAGCAGAATTTCAGAGCCCACCACTCATCCATGATCCCATGCTGCTTTCCCAACAATGACTACAGTAGTTTGGAAAGATGCAATAAGGTGGAAACATTATTATTCAAATAAATAAACAAACAATTTCAATTGCGTAATAACTACTTCACATGCCCATCAAAAATTCAGGTAAATGAATCTATGATGGCATATCCCAGACAAGAGTAATGGCTTAATGGAAAAACACAGAACACCGTGCACAGTACTCTGGACCTAAGACACTCAATGATAGTTTGTTGAATGAATCAACACCGTTAATACTGTTCTTGCTCTGTTCCTCAGAACCTTATTAAATTTTAAACCCTTGCAAAGTAGCATGCCACTCAGAGCTAATAATGTATCTTAGCATTATTTATTACCTGTGTGAAGTGGGAGATTAATAATAACAAATTAGAGATGTGGTATTAAAAGAAGGCTATGTGCTTCAAACTTTTACCCTCTAAAAAAGGGCGTGGGTATGTTTTATTATGGAATTATTTGCCTCTTACCAGCTTGCTAAAAATCAAATCTTGTCTAATTGTGTTGAGAATGTTCAAGCAGACAACAATAATATGGGTTAATGAATCAGTCACTATTGTCATTATAGCATTATTCTTGGTCTCTCACACAGTCTTCAGTTGCCTAAGAGTTTAAGTTATATCCTTAGTTAATACAACTCTCTTTTTTTTTTTCTTCTGAATTTCCTAACTTGAACTTTATCAGCTTATCTGGGTGGTGTTTTTTGATTCAGAAGTCGGATTCACATAACATTCCTTTTTCTGTGTTGCACTGTAAGAACACCTTTTCTCACAATCAAGGCTTGTTGTACTTTATACAGTAAGATTGTGTTGCTTAAGTTTTTCAGAATTTATGATCTTTTAAAGAGGCGGAAGTGAGTGCAAATCTGAGAAACTTCAGGTTTCCTAACATTCCTGCCTGGACCTGCTTTGTTAGTAAGCACAAAACAATTGTAAAATCATTTATACACATGACTAAAAGCTGTAAAAATAGACTAAGTTTCAACTTCTAGGTTCCTGATGAAAATAAGCTACACTATGGTACAGATTTAAATTGGTCTGACACATGACCTTTGAAAGCCTAGGTTGACGTTTAAGAAAGAAATTGTTCTACGTTAAGTTTGGGGGCAGCTAACTTATAATCAGTTGTTTTTTGTAGGTTCAGCAATTAAAGCCATAGACAAAAGAACTTCACTTCTGTTCATAAATTCCTTTATTGAGACAATGTGATAATTTTCATTAGGTTTATGGACTCTTGTCCTTATTTAGAACAGATTAGGGAGATATGATTAAAGTTATACACGTGTTCAGGTCTTTCGTTCATAGGGTCGTTATGAGGCGTCTGTAGCTTGACGGCACTTAACAACACAACAGCAAGGGAGATACGAGTGGGTATATTAACAAATTCATATCCTCCAAAACCTATACATCCATATGTATGTAGGTGGTAAGTAAGGCACTGCTATGAGGTGAAATTCCGAATACCCCACAGTGAAGATTTATGGAGATGATGTCAGGATAATTCTGAAGAGCAACTTCAGACCCAGAGGGAGTAGCTATAATATCTACAGACTTAACAATATAGAAACACATATGCCAAGGTGCCTTCACATAGAATTGCATTACCACAAGGAGAGAGACGGGGAAATTAAGCCCAATGATACTCTTTTTCCAAGGATGGATTAGAACAGTAATTCAGAATTCTAACTCCTGATTCAGGCTCCTTTCTAATTTTAAGCTTCTACAATCAGAAGAAAAGACACTTTTCATCTCTCTATAGCTTTATGACTGACAAGATTATCTGCACTTAGATGAGGGGAAAAAATTTGAATTGTGACTGGTGCTTACAGGAGAAGTTCCTTCTAATACTTTAACGTGTGAGAAATTTTTAATATTCTGGGTTTTCTTAGGCATTTGTCCTCTTAAGCATTTGAAGTATACTTTTTGAATAAATATTGTTTTAATTTTTTAAAACCGAAGTGATTTGCTTATGGCTTCGAGTGCCTTCTTGATATAAAATCAAGACTGCAATAGGATATTTCAACATAATTTTGCTCCCTCTAGAGAAATATGATTAGTCAAAACTAGCCCAATGATAAGGGAAGATTAAACACATTAGTGTCCCTTCTTTCTTTTTTACATCATCTATGCACACCTATCCAAAGGAAAAGTAACAGAATTTGAATACCTTAGGTTCTGAATTTTTTTAAATTGATTTAAATACTGAGTGTGAATAAAAACTTCTGTCCATCCATCACAGTCAAGGCTGATCTTTTCCTTGTGCATAAAATAGGAGTCATATATTAATTGAAGTTGTGAGCAGCTGGGAATAGCAAGCCAGGTTCAAGTGCATTAAGTCACAGGGTCAAGATTTGCACATGCACATAATAAAGGCACTTTCTCCAAAGCACAGAGTCTTCTAGTGCCTTGTGTCAAAGGAACAAGGTGTACAGGAGATTTAAATGCAACCCAGCAGATGCCTCTGCCTTGCCAGGGTGGGTAAATGTGCCCTAAAGTTAAACACACATGCAGAATGCAATATATTCTTATAGGAACCTGGAATGTGTGTTAGTCAAAGGCTGAAAGGGACAGAGCAAGTTTCAACAATAAAGGTTGGTAAAACAACAACAACAGAACACAAACAAAAAAGTATTCTCAATAAAAAAAGAAAGAAAGCACCCTCCCCCCCCCAAAAAAAATAAAACCAACCCAAAAGAAAGCAAAACTCCTCCACTCACCGTTCCCGTTGTACCCAATGAAAGGTGGTTCATCTGCTGTGTCAGGGGACCCATCATGTTGGCCGGCTGCATTGACATGGGATGGTCCATGGTCGGTGTGATCACAGCACCCTACAAAGCACACAGAAGATTTGTCTGAAAACACGCCCCATGAGCAAGGAAATGCTTTCAAAAAACTTAAGCTCAGTAACCTGTGTTAACATCAAATGTGTTTACTTTTGCTTGAAGAATCTAAATTCAGCCTCGTGTCATGTTTCCTTCTGTCACTGTCATTTTGTAAATAAATGCCTAAATACTTGGCAACTTCCTCTTCTGTAAGCTGGTTTATCTGTGATGCATCCTATAGTGTATATCAAATGCATGCCAAGATAATCAGATATTGCCTTTCCTAGATTCTTCTAAATGCATGCAAACTCCCTTGACTAAAAAAATATGAAGATTAACATGACTTCTTTAGTGTTTCTCAATGTTCAGTAAGACTCCCAGTTTAAGTCATTTGGCAGAGATTACAGACGGGGAGCCCTGGTGGCAGGCAGTTAAAGCACTTGGTTACCAATAGGCTGGTAATTCAAATGTTCCTGCATGCCTCTCTCCGGGAAAGACATGGCAGTCAAGTCTCCATGCCATTCTCATTGCCATGAAGAAGGACTGACTGACTCTGCAGTGGCTTTTTAGAGGCTGTAAGTCACATGGAAGAAGGATGACCATCTTTCTCCCATCCTGCCTTTGTGTTGGCAGCACAACTTCTTACCTTCTAGGCGAGGAGAGCTCCCTACCACCCACCTGTTAAGCTGGTAAATATTACAGCTTTGGAAATATTGAGGGGCATTTCTGCTCTGTTCCATATTGTCACTCTGAGTCACAGTCAACGGGACAGCCAGGGGTAGCATGCTACTTGATAAACAGGCTAGTGTGTACCTCTGAGGAATGACGCTGGACCAGCTGAGTTCCTTGACTGTCTTTGAAGATGTATAAAAATCTAATACAAAATCATCTAAAATTACAGTTACTACTTTTCATGCTTTCTCCTATTCTTTTGACCTATTTCCTTTCTATCTTGCCTTTGATGAAAGACAATGGGATACTGACATCTGTTAAATGCTAATCAAATGCAACACTATTAATTTTTTTAAAGTAATTAAAGCCAAGCTTTCAATCAGCTATTATGAAAGGCTTATTTTAGGATCATCTTTCCTGATTTATGGTAACTGTTGGCAGTATAAGCAATTGTACATCTTTCTAGAACCACACTTCATACATAGTGTCACATGAAGAGCCAAGCACCACCCAGGCCTCTTCTTCCGCTCTCCTTCCCTCGCCTGATTCCTCCCTTCAGGCCCTGCCCTGGAGAATGAAATGAATTTTCAACAAGCAAACGTAGGGAGCGAAGTGTGGGTGGAAAATCAAGGTCCTAAAGGAATCTATGATTAGCTATTAAATGAACAGGAGGTTCATGGCAAAGTGGACTGTGAGAAGAGGGACGGGGCAGAAAGAAAACGTGCAACAAGGAATGAATAAAAATGTTTAAAAAATTTAAAAAAGCATACAATTCAAACTTTGATTTTAAAGATGATAATTAAGGCTGATTATAATAATAAGCCATTTGAATCCTCAGAACAAAGAAAATGACTATTTCTCGAATAATTTGTCCCTCCCTAAGCATTGTTTTCTCATTGACTTCTTTTACAGTCAAACAAACATTTTTCAGCAGGAAAACTAGGGCAGATGCGTGGAGGCCGGAATGCTCTATGCATCCAGGCTCAGGGCCCACGAGCAAGTGTTCTCTAGAATGCTTTTGTTTTTGATGTTAATTTTTTATTTTGAATGGTTTCTTTTTTATTTAAATGAAAGATTGCAAATCATATTGTTTTTTTGCATTATCATTCATAGACATTTGGTTTTATAACAATGCCATTGATTATTGTTGTTTTGTACAGTCAGAACTGACCCACAGCTGACCCTCCAGCCGGTGTTCAGAGGCAGTTAATCGTCCGAGAGGAGAATGCCCATGAATTCAGGATTGTTGCACAGTTTCTTGCCACTGGGGCACTGATTAATACCATTAATATAATTAATTAATTAGAATGTGTAATCAACCTTTTAGGGAGTTCTGGTGGCTCAGTGATAAGAACTGCACTGCATACACAAAGGTACACAGTTCAAATCCACCAGCTTCTCCATGGGAGAAGGATAAGAGATCTCCTCCCACGTGATTCACTGCCTCTGAGCATCCTCTGGAGGGTCAGGTATGGGTCGGTTTTGACTCAATGGTACCCAGCAACAACAATCAACCCGTAGTGTATATTTCTTTGCTCTTTAACCAACTTAATCTAGCTATCAAGTTTTACTCCCCTCCACTTCCCTCTTAGCCCTTTAATACAGATTCTTTATATAAGCTTTATCTGGGGTAAGGGGGATACGTGTGTCAGAGATAATAGGATTGGCAAGGGATAGCGCAGGATTTAGGGCTGTTGTACATAGGATCGCTATGAGTCGCAGGCAGCTCATCAGCACATAACAACAACAACAGTAGTCTTACACAATAATTGTCTTTCATGATTCACTTATGTCATTTAGTATAATTTGTTCTGTATTCAGGATAATAAATGTTTCAAGAGCGGTTGGTGGATTTGAACCATGTTCACGGCTCATCTTAAACAATTTTCATAATGCTTTATGCAAAACTATCAACTTTTTTCTCAACTTTCTTATAATAACTAGGTTTATGAATGAAAAAACATGCTTTGCTTACAAATCTAATGTTTTCTGTCTCTTTAGTAGTGTTTAGAATTTTTAGAACAAATATCATGTGGGATGTATTGTATCTACAACAACTGTGAAACAGAGTTAGGAAAATTGTGTACATTTACAAGAAAACTGGTAAGCATTAATTATTTTCCAATAGTAGCACGGACTTCATCATACGAATAGCCACACATTTCCATTCAACTTTAGAAATGGCTCTACAAATAGAACAGCCTCCAATCCTGGTCATCGCATCTTTTTCTTAAGGGTTATTTCAAAATATATCACATCATCTGCACTAGACCTTGGGAGGGATTTCTAGGTATCTTCACATGGCTCCAATGTTTCACCTTTTTGTGCTTGTTAATATTTCCATGATCTGAGGGGCGAGGGTTGAGGTGGCATGAAGGGATAGAAAGGCCAAGTGTCACAGTTACAAGGATTGAAAATGGTTGGAAAGGTCTCGCATCTTTCTACTTACTTATGCTTAGCTACCTTGACACATGTCCACGTGACTTGGAGGGAGCAGTGTGATATTTTCTAAAAGAGGTAGCTGTAACTTCAACAGTGAAAACATTGTGGTTTGATCACTCTCACATGTTCGATGTATGGGCAGATGATACACAACCAAGCGAAACTAAAGTCAAACCTCTCTTACTATTTTACTGTCAAATCCCTTTCATTTCTTTATCATTATTCTGTTTGCATTGACAAGATTGTACCATGCAAGATGGCAAGAGTTGTTCTTACATGCCTTTGATGATATAATAAACAGTAATGATATAAATAGATGCTAAAGATGTCTTTGTGATTTATTACTATATATAAGCATGCTAATTAATCAGCTAAATTAAAAACAGCTAACCTACACTTTGAATTTAAACTGTTCTATAAGGCAGACATATCTTGGAGAAAATGCAGCCAGCATGCTCATCGGAGGCAAAGATGATAAAACTTTGACTCGTTCCCTTTGTGTATGTTGCTAAGAGAGACTATTCCTTGCAGAGAGACATCCTTCTTGGGGGTGGAGAGAGCAAAAGAGAGGAAAACACTTAACCAGGTGTACTGACACAGAGACTCAGCAAAGGCCTTGAGTGTGGCAGAGACGGTGAAGATGGGTGGGACAGGATTGGACAGATTCAGATCTGTTGTTCATAGGGTTTGCTATGAGTCATAGACAACTTGACAGCACTTAACAAAAACTAAAGACAGAAATCCCATTTTGTTCATTGTGTACAGTATCTGCACATAGGGTTGTTGTAATAAAATTTCAAAAATACTTGTCAGAAAAAAATTATTTATGAACAAAACCCTAAATAAGAAAAGTACTTGGAAATCCTGTTTTGAGATTACAAATCAAGATGGAAGGTAGTTCTTGTGGCCTGGTAGTAAGAAGCTTCAAAGTCATGTATTTGGAATTCACCAGCCACACCATGGGAGAAGGATGGGCAATCTCCTCTCATGCCACCTCCTGCCTCTGAAAACCTGCACGAGGCTCAGCTCTGAGTCCATTCGGCCTTGAAGGCAAACAACAACGATCAAAGATGGAGGCAGTACAACTTCTGAGAAAGTTATTCTTTTAAGAAAAGAAGATTTTATAATTTTTCCCCTTTCCATTTTATTTTTACTTTTTTCTACTAATTTGCAAATTTGAATACAAATTTGAACAATTTCTTTCAATTTATTCTAAGATGATGGTTGTTCAACTTGTGTATATATGCGTTAACTTGTATCTCCAGAGTTAATACTCTACCTTAAAAGTTGAAAAGGTTCTAAAGACCAAATAAAAGTAATTATGAAAATGAACAAACAGATCCAGTACTTATTTTAAGCCTAAGCATTTTACTATTAAAAGTAAATACTAAAAAATATTATTAAAAAATAAATAAGTTTTAAAAAATTACATTTTCCTTTTAAATATCTCTAGGAAGGCTTGTTGGTTTTGGGGTGGGTTATTTTTTACCCCTTTTTTACAAACAGATCCATGGGATTGTGTAATTGAGGACCAACTTTGTTCAAGTTCACAGAGAGAAAATACATAAAACAGGTGAAAATTTATCTTCTTTGAAACATTTATAAAATGTGTTCATTAAAATTATTTCATTAAAAAAGAAAAAAAAAGTTGAGAAGGGAGATTCGCTTGATGTAAATAGTTTCACAAATACTATCATAGATTTGCAAATCTGTAGAACTTAGGAAAACAATTTTGTTCGTGTGCACATATTATCAGTGATTCCTGACAGAATTGTTCTGTGATACCCAGAGGGGATACGTGGAAATACCTGGAGGCATTTGTAAGGATCACAGCGGAGCCAGCAAAGCACTGGACCAGGGTTGCCACAAACAATGGGAAATTCCCAGAAGAG